TTCAGTTTTTGGCCCTATGCCAAAGTGCACGGAAAAGTGCAGTCGACTGTTGGCAATAAACCGAAAATGTCGACGAGTAAAAACTGTTCAAGCTACTGGCGGCTAAACTGCCACAAATCAAATATTATTGCCCAAGCGATTTTCCTCTTTGCTAGCAACTGTTTATTTAACCATAAACCTTTTTGTGCGACCCTCTTGTTAATAAATATTTAAACGGCAATACAACTGAACGTATTGCCAAAGAAATAGCCATGCGGAAATGAGTGAGTTTATTTGTGCTGCCGCTGGCGAATGGGGGTGCCACAGCTGTTTGGCTAAATCTGGCATGGGAACGTGTGTGCATCGCATAGAAAATAGCTCGTCGTCTTCTTGTGCGACTCTTTGTCTCTGCTTACTCATAGATGGCTTCGTAATTTGGCAGCAATAATGAAAACGAGACACATGTCACCGCCCAGCCCCCGCAGAATCTAATGTCGATGCAGACATAAATTTAATTTAATTTAATTTAATTGAACAAATAGCACGTTGTGTTTGGGGAAAATTACAGAGCATGTGCGGCTTATTAGAGATGAATTTATTATAGGGGCATCCCGTCAACTGTTAACAATTTCATTTTTAACATATACTTTTCATTTTTCATTTAACACCTGTGGGTAGGACAATACAAACAATTGCAGGCTTTTAAAAATATAAGCCAAAGTAATAATATGACTGATACCATATTACTTTCTGAAAGGGTATTAAAAGAAAGAAACTGTCATTAAATATATGCTTTGAGCTGTTACAGTTTGAAATTGAAATTTTATTGACAACATTTTGAAATGTTGTTTTATAAAAGCACATATTTTTCATACCACATATTGTATGATAATGAAGAATGATCACTAAATCAGATTCCCCAAGAGCAAAGGCGAACTCTTTTTCACATAGTTCATCTGGCAGTTCGTCATTAAATTTGTGGGCCAATATTTCTTGGAATCACTTCTAATCGCCCCCTTTGAATTGCAAATAATATCAACAACAAAGTCTAATATTTAGAGAGTGTCAGCTGGATGGTCCTGCTTGAACACGAATCTACACTTGACAGTTTCTGCGAAACGCAATAAAATATTCCGCATTTCCTTTTCGCCTTGCCACTTACTAATAAATTCATTTTTGTCAGCTCTCGAAATGCACTTGGTCATTTATTTCCCAGTACTTAGTTGCACGTGCCAAAACAGAACTAAAAATAATTTATATGGATGCCAGGAAGGTAACAAAATTATTGGGAAAGTGTTGAAATTAATTTTAATGACATTTCTGTTTTGCAAAGAAGGTTCGCTGAGTGAAGCGCCTGATAAGCTGGTAAAAAACTTCCAAACAACTACGGGTAGGACAGATTCGAGCCTTCAGCTCCAAGATTTTGCTTGCTGTGCGACAATATTTGAATCGTGTCATGGAATATTCCACGATTCTGTGTTGAGAACTTGGCTGAATGTTGACGGGCCACAATAACAGCCGACACATCCCTTGGCCTCGGCTCTCCGTAAGTTCAAATATTGCGGGGGAGCTGGGAGGAGGTGGTCTGTATGTGGGTTGCCTACATATGTTTCTATTGCCATTGTGACGTCACCCGGACAGAGGGACCGCGAATCAGTGAATCGCGAATCGAGAATCGAGAATCGTGAGTCGAGAGCTGCGAGCTGCGAGCGGGTTAACTGTCAGCGATAAGTCGGAGGCAAAAACAGTGTCAGCCAGCCCGACGGCATATTTATGGGCCCATTTCGCCAAACAAATCCCGGCCAGACTATATACATGTATATTAATGAGATAAAACCAGCGTAAGCTGCGTGAGAAAGGCACAGTTCTGCAGATTCTTGGCCTAGGACTGAGCCAAAATTGGGCTTCACTTTAAAACTTATTGTGAAAATTCGAGAAAAACAGAGCTCTTGTGTGCGCTGTGTGTACGAGCAAATATATTAAATCATTTTGATTATGCTGTTAGATGTTCTAGTGCCCTATCAGCGATAACGCAGCGAGCTGATAAGGTCCGTCATATATTTGCATATTATACTAGTAACATGGCCTGACTTTGACTAAGTCTGCAGATTGAATTCGAGCTGCAGTAGTTTCGCGAAAAACAAAGCACTCCGGCTGCAGCTGTCATGAATACACAGCCCACTTGGCGGAAAGCGACGATCCCCAAAATATTGAACATAACATAAATCCATAACCGTATCTCAGACATGACCCGTGTTGATTTTTCTGCCCGTTCAAGGGTGTGCAGCCGAGTCAATGCACTCGGTTCTCATTCAAGTTCACATGCAAATTGGATAAATCCAAAATCGCACGGATTTATGGCGGGGCGTATCGATAGTTAATTCTTGGCGAGCACCTATGACAGATTGTGCCAAACTTCCGTGAGGTTCATTGACACGGCGTTAAGATTATCGCAGCTCAGACTTTAGTTTTCCGCTCTTTGACATCATGTGGCGCACTGGTGTGTCATTATCGCCGGATCGGGAAAAAAAAGCAATATGTCGCAGTCGAAAAGTTTATTTCCTCTTACCTAATCGACAAATTTGCCTAAGATGACAGCCAGCTTGTCCACCCACACGTTCTTCTTTGCTCCTCACCTGACTTTCGACAGTTTGTAGCAGCTAAATCCAATTTATTCGTTTTTGTGAGTGCTTAGTCCGCTCGTGCTGAGAATGAAACAAGAATATATCGAAATCTGTGCCTCTGTGCCAACTGCCAAAATTTGTTCTAATGACATTTGGCATTTTTTTCATTTTTGTCTTGTTACTCAGCGGGCTTACAAAAATGGTTTTTTAATTCTGTTTTAGTTTTCTTTAATTATGCAGCTATTCAAATTAATATTTTTATGGCTTCACACCATGGAAGCAAGTTGACATTTTGGGTAATGTTTGCCGGGCTTGGCCATATCGGTTGAAATTAGTTGATTTAACGAGGCTGATTGACTTTAGCGCTTATATATTTAAAAGTGTTTTTTAATTTATTCAATTTGATTTTAAGAGCTTTGCTTTTAATTACAAGAGTTGCTGCGTTCGGGAGTTTCAATGGCTCTTCTAAGCGCTTAAATCAATCCAAGTCAAGGGTCCTTCTCGGCGCTTCTCAATTATTTTAGTTAAGCGAATAGTTTATGGTTTGCTTTTTCAAGTATAAGCGTTTCAGGTTTCATGTTTCATGTTTCACACAAAAAAGACCGTGTACCTAATTAAAAAGAGCTAATATAATGCTAATTTAATCTGTGATATTTTAGTCAATTTGTTCACACCGCTGTTAGGACTGAAACTGGAAATTCTATTTTCAGACCACAATTGGCAAACAACAGAAGACTTTTTTACGCCGAACGATGTGTAGAAATGTCAGAGGCCTCATCGAGGCATATTAAACGCACCATAGAGCGAGACGCGCAGTGTATCATAAAATAAATAAATAAGTGCGACGCTCTCGGTGACCGATTTGCTGAGGGACAGCAACGCATCCGCTAGATACTGACTGGGGTGTCCGAGAGTTTGGTCTCCGCTTCAGCTACTCTGCTTCGGTTTTGATTTTGTTTATGTGCCGCATTTTTCTGCTGAAACACCAAACACAGACGTTCCGTTGTCGCCGCATTGCTGCAAAAATTAGCGTAAATTAGCCTGTATGGAATATCAGTCGTACTTATCACATTTCTTGACTTGGACTTGCCCAGGGTGGAAGGGTGGCAGGGTGAGTCAGGTGTTGAGGTAAGCCATGGCTCTTTGATATTTCGCCCGCTGCCAAACGATTAGTCATTGCACCGCCCATGCACCCGTCCTCTAATCCCCTAATCCCCCAATGCCCAACCATTCGATAGGTTTGACCAAGTGTTTGATCTCCGTGGTCGAGTTCTAAGTAGCAAACCCGTACTCGTACCAATCACCGACTGCCATATACAGAAGACATCGTGACACCTCCACCGCTTTCCCCGTTCCTTAAAATGTGACAATCTAATGGGTTGTATGACATACGAATTGGGTACACACAGAAAAACGATGTTTCTATTTATAATAAGTGCTAGGCAGTAGGTAAAATCAAATGATGGAAGGATGTCGTGTCACGTCATTTTCCCGTTTAACACTTTAAGGTTGTATCTATTGATAAAACATTATGATTATATTTTTATATCAGTTGGCATTAGATCCAGATTTAACTAAATGCCTTTTTCCTTCTGTGTACAATTCGTATTCGTTTTGAAATGAAACACGCTTTTGCCACAATCAGACTGAAATGAGAAAAAAAGAATTAAATATTTATTGTGCTGTTTCTTTTCGGTTTATGAATCAATTAATACGGACATGGGTGGTGGGAGGGGGAACGAACGCTGAAATGCTGAATGAAATGCTGAACTTGCGCGCCCCTTCGTCTGGTTAAGTGTTTGTTCGTGTTCTAGAGCTCTTGTCGGCGAAGTTGAGAGCAGGTTGGATCGATAAATTCAACTGAATCGCCGGTTTGGCCATTAATTATTTGGGAGAAATGTTGCAGAACTCTTCGAGCCAACCTCTGGTGTTGCAGATCTGGAGATCTGCGTGGGTGACTTCGTAACCGCTTTCAAGCACCCATTTGAACTGCCCCCAGTGAAAAAGTCATGATAATTATTTCTTTTAAGACACATAATCTTTTATTTGAATAGTTTCTTGCTCTTTTTGTGGTTTGGTATGGTTTGCTTGTGTTTCAATTTATTATTTTCTCAATATATTAGCAGCTTGACTGGAAAATACCGGATAAGCCACCAATTGTTGCTGTTAATTTTTATTGTGTTTGTTGCATTTTTCATGGGCTTTCAATTTTGTTTCGGATTAAAAGCTAATTTGTCACATTGAAATTTGTTTTTGTTTTTTAGTTTTGTTTAACATTTGCTTTGCTCTTACATCGAATGGTTAAGCGAATGACAGTTGAATAAAATTGAAAAAATATCACTATTTAGTAAAGGTATGTATACACACATAAGCTTGTATATAGTATAAATATTAATACATGTTTTAAGTTATTTTTAATGCATTTCGAAATTACATTCTTGGTTGCCCCCTTGCTCAACATCACAATAATTGGTTTTGAAATATTTTCTTTGTCCGACACATTTGCATGAATATTTATAGATATTTCCTATGCACACACTCTCTTTATAAAATATAAACTTTAGAAATATAAATTCGAGGTTGTTTAGTATTGTGTGTGTGTGTGCTTGTGCGTTGTTGCTGGGTCTTTTGTGCAGCCGAGGGAAAATCAAAGGAGGAGGAGAACTTAAGGTATAAAGCTTTCTGGCCTGGAGCGGACTGAAAAGAGACAAATGCCAGGGCCACTCGAGCATTTTCCCATGCATTATGCATGGGGCGAGTCGATTGGCTCTGACCTTTGACCCGCTACCGCTGCCCATCTCGCACTTTAAATTATAACTAATGAGGTATTTAGCTGCACGCAATGTCCGCGGAGTTCTACAAAAGCAAATTGACTTAATGGCTCTGGCCCGATAGCCGTTGGCTAACCAAGGGCTAACTAACCCACTAACTAACTGCTGCTGACTGACAATCCGGCCAACTGGCAGCTACCTTTGCACCGGCCAAAAGGCATTTTCAATATGAAAACGCCGCCTGCAAAAGGCCGCTCCAGTTGGCCAGCTTTGGAAAAGCACTGCTCGGCACTAGGTGCCTGCTCGGTCTAAGACTACTCGGCTCTACAACTTAATCTTAGGCTCTAGAATACACATATGCTTAGCACATTGACTTAATTAACTTATAAATTGAATGCTTGCGTCTCTTCTTGTTTAGCCAGAATGTTTTTGGAGTTAAAGCTTTGCGGTGTGGATGTCTAATAAGTATGTACAATCGTAACAATAAATAATTAATTAATTAGTGCGGGGGCTCGAAATAACTGAGTGCTGTCTTTGCTGTTTGTGGTCTCGCACTTGAGTAAAAACATTAAATGTTCATATGCTTGTTGCTTAGGTACATAGATTACGTTCTCGACTTGGCTTGGCTTGGTTCCACTTTGCATTTTGATATCCACCCTAAGATTACGACTCCTGCCTCTCAATCTTTGTTAATTTGACTTGTACACAGTTTTCTATTTGTTAAAGGTACATATTTTTCTTTTTGTGTTATGTTAAAGCATCTCAAACTATAGTTTGACTCTCTTTTTGTGTGTGTGTGTGTGTTTCTTTTTTTTTGGCATGAGAAGCTTCTAGGACAGCATTATCTGGTCTTAAAACTGAATTCAAACAGTTGTCTCTGCTAATTGCTAAACTTACAAATTACGAATACTGTTTTTAGAATTCTTCAGCAAGCGAGTTTAGTGTCTGTTTACTTTCTAAGCTGCATATGGTATTGGTAGCCACCTCGTTTAGACCTCTGTGGGCAAACTCTGGCTCTGGCAGCCCGCCTGCAGTTTCTTCGAGCCGCGGAAGAACATGTCGAAGAGTCTGGCCCGCCGGTTCTGGAACTTCTGTGGACTCGTTGGCGTTATGGCTATGTGCTCCACAATGGTGATGCCCCTCTGCAGCTTGGGGCGTTGGGGGCGTGGCGGTGCAACAGTGGCCGGCGGTGGTGTAACCGGTGGTGGCTCCTCCGAGTCTGCCGAGCCCCTGGCTCCGCCGAAGTTGATGATGGTGCTGCAACTGCTGTTGGGCCGCAGCGTCAGGGTGGTGTGCACTGGCACCTGCTGACTGACCAGCGATGTCTGGGGCGTGAGGTAGCGGCAACTGTTGCTGCTGTACTGCGACAACTTGCTGCTGTTGCGCTGCAGCTGGGCACCGCCTGCCGCCGGACCTGCGGTGCCGTTGGTCTTCACACTACTGCTGCAGTGGCGCTGCAGACCGGCCGACGACTCCAGTCCGAACAGACGCTTGACTCCGCGCCGCACCCGCTTGTTGCGGTAGGCGAAGATGAAGGGCGAGCTGAGGTTGGCCAGCAGGATCATGAAGATGGCCAGCTGCGAGGAGCCGCCAAAATTGGCGGCCGACAGCCGCGACTGCAGCAGCACCAGCAGGCCGAAGGGCAGGTACGAGACCACGAACATCACCACCACCAGGATGCTGATCCGGGCGGCCCGCGACTCCTCGCGGTACTTGAACAGCGAACTGGCATTGCTCAGCCGATGGCGCAGCGAGCTCATGTAGCTCAGGGCCTTGGGGGAGGCGTGGATGGCGGGTATTTGGAGGGCGTGGCCGTGCTGCTGGTGGCGCGGCGAGCTGAAGTGCGGGTGGTGGTGCTGCTGCTGCTGGTGCTGCAGGTGCAGCTGCTGCTGGTGGTGCAGGTGCAGCTGCTGCGACTGCTGCTGCTGCTGCCGCTGGGCATGGCCCAGCAGGTGCGGCGAGCCGCACTCCTCGCCCAGCGAGTCCTGGCGCAGTTCCGTGTACTTGTGCAGATTCGGGGAGCTGTGCACCTGCCGAATGCCCACCAGGCGATGCGTCTCGCGCAGATCCTGCGAGGATGTGCCCAACAGCGGTAGCTGCCGGGCGGAGTAGTTGCGCTTGATCTCCCCACTGGCCGTCTGCAGGGTCAGCATTATGTTCTGGTTCCTGTCCGACAGCGTGTGCTCCTGCACGGTCATCAGTTGCACCCCGGTGCCACTCTCCGCATCCGAGCCGCCATCGTCGGAGATGGTCGGCAGCAGCACCTTGGCCGCCGAGTCCCGGCGCAGGCAACTGGGCGAACTTCTCGGCTGCTGCCGCTGGTCGATTTGCATCTGCAGACCGCCCAAACCCAATCCCAGGCCACTGTTACCGCCATGCGAACTGGCCGACGAGATGGAGTGCCTGTGCACACACAGGCTGTTCGAGAACTGATTGGCCTGGGCCGCCTGCTGGCCGGCCGTCAGGTTGAGGGCGCTCTGCAGCAGCGGCGAAGATCCGTTCTGGCGCATGCGCAGCCCGTTGCCGCGGGCCTCGCTGAAAATCCTCCAGTACATGCCGCACACGAAGCCGAAGGGCAGCAGTATGATCACGATGAAGTACACACTGGCGTAGGCCACGCCGAAAATACTGTTTGTGCTGCTGATGTTGAAGTAGGTGACCGCCAGTCGGCGGCTGTGCCGGCTGAACAAGGTGTCCGCCTCGAAGTCCAGCACGCGGAAGGCGGACAGGGCTCCGAACAGGATGCCCACCACCCAGGTGAGCGCAATAAAGATCCACGTCTTCACGCCAGAGATGCGGCTGTGGTAGCGCAGCGGATCGGTGACGGCGCACCACGTGTCCCCCACCACGAGCAGCACGGCCAGAGCGCCCAGGGCAGCGGTCATGTCTATGGACCAGCATCTCAGTTGCACCGGCGGCAGAGGGGCGGAGGCGGCCGTGGGCGGACTCTCAAAGGCCGAGAGATTCTCCTCGTGCGTCTCCGTCTCCGTCTCCGTGATGACGAAGCCGCCATCGCCGCGCTCATCGATGGTCAGCTCGCGGCAGTAGGTGGCGTTGCACTTGAAGAAGGTCTCCAGCGTATCGCCGTTTTCGCTGATGTTGCGACGCACCACCACGCCGTCCTGCTCCACCAGCTGGCCATTTCGGCGGAGTATAACCTGGTGGTTGCCCGGCTTCGAGACGAACTGCAGCGTTTCCGCTGATTCTCCAGACACTGATGTGGGGACTTCTGAGGACTTGCCAGGCAGACCCAGGAACAAGGTGGGCGCCAGGATGCAGCAGCCAATGAGGTTGATGGCCAGCAGGTTGATCGTGAAGCGGTTGGCTGTGGTCCGCAGGCCCGGCGTTATCCAGAAGGCACACAGCGCCAGCAGGTTGATCAGGAACGAGACGAGCAGCAGGGCCAGGATCAGGAGGTCTATGGCCATTCTTTAGGCTTTTTCGATTCGTCGATTACCAAACATCACTTTACAGTTTCACATTCACTACACGGCCTCTTATTTTGGGTTTGTTTCGTTTTGTTTCGTTTTGTTTTGTTTTGTTTTGTTTGGTTTTGGCTTTGCTTATGACACAAATTTCACTCGGTATATCCGCTGTTGTTGTCTCTCCGTCTCTTCACATTTGCAGCCAATTTTTTTAGTTTTCTGTTATATATCTTTTCTGTTTTGGATTTTTTTTTTTTGCGGCGGCGGTTTGTTTCTTGCGAACGCTTGCTAATTTACGTGCGAGATTTGACAAAAATAAAAAACAATTTCTTTTTAGCTCTCAAGCAGTTGCTTTTTCACTTGTGTTTGTTTTACGTGTCTTGTCAATTGTTTTGGGGGGGAACTCTTGATTCAATTTTTTTTCGCCGTGTATTTATCACGCGCATCGATCGGACGAGCACGATCTTCACTCCGAAGCGTTCCAAGCACAACTGTCGTGAGCGATCGCCGCAACGCCTCCAAATATACGCGAACGCTGCGCAGCGGGTGCGAGCGAGAGGGGCCGCCGGTACGAGCGGGACGGAGCAACGCCAGCGCGAGAGCGGCGAGCGAAAAGAGCGATTGGGAGAGCGACGAGAGCGCGATGTTGCTGCCGTGCTGCGATGATTGTTGCTGCTGTTGCTACCGTGATTTGCGATTCCCACGCTCCGACTTTGAAATTATGTTGCTGCAAGTGGCCGCTTCTCTGTTGCCAGCCGGTCTTTATCAGTTGTTGTTGTTGTTGCTGCTGCTGCCGTAGCTGTTGCTGTTGCTTTTGCTGCGGCAAGTATTGCTGTTGCTGCTGCTGCCGCTGAAAGTATTGCTGTTGCTGTTGTCCTAGTTCACTTCAGCAGCAACACAAATTGTATAATCTGTTTCTTTTTTCCAACGCCAATTGCCGATTCACTTTTGCTCCGTATTACATCACTAGCTCAATGTTATTGCTGCCGCTGCTCGGGCTTTTCCATTTTCCAAGACATATTTTCTTCTGGCTTCTGCACAATTTCCAATGTGCAACGTCGACCGCGCTCTATTTTCTTAACCATAAAAATTGCATTTTTATTGGGCCGACTGCTGCTTGAAAATAAACAACAGCTGATGAAATTCCCACCATTGGGCGCCAGCTGCAAGGAAGAGAAAAAGATAGAGAGAGAGAGAGATAATGAGAACTGGAGCGAGATAGCAGGCAAGAGATATGTCCACGCGATAAGGCACTGATATTATGGTTGTTTTGATTGTGAAATTAAAAACAAATACATGCTGGACCAATATGATACAGTAGATTTACTTTGGCTTTTAAACTCGTTCGACAATGACTCAGAAAGTATAATAATTGCATTTCAAATAATTGAAAAACGGCACGCTCCCGCTATGCACATATGAAATTCCTTATCGGTAAACGGCTGATAAGGCATATTAATCCAGTTATTTTATAAGGGAACTGTCCAGAAGTCCGTCATATACACTTATAGTCAATTACCTTAACGGTATAGGAAACATTACCATTCATCGCCACACGCTAAGTTCACATGAACCTCCTTGATTATAACTAACTGTGTTTTTTTTTATAACTACGCATTACATATATCCCACAGTCGGTACACAAATCGGAAGATCAGCCGGTTACAACATGACCGGAGAATAGACCTTAATGAGCTCATCGCGAATTCTCTTCGGTTCCCAGTAGTTATAAAAACTTTAAGGCATCTGGCCAAAAGTCATTGGCACAGGCAAAAAAAAAATAAGGCCTTTCATAAGATCTTCTCGAAGAATACATTCATGATTGTATTTTAAAAAATATATTATATATCTTATTCCTATGAATAATATTAGCCATATTCTAAAGAAAACTCTTTAAAAGAATTTAATTATTGAAGAGAAAAGTTTTTATAAGGCATCTAATTTTCATCATTCACCAATTTTATTTTTGACTGTGCATTTCCTCATCTTTGTAATTCTATGGAACGCACGAGCCGATTTTTTTTTGTGAACACGCGACCGAAGGCTGTGAAAAATCAACAGAAAACCATTTTCTTCTGGTCAGTTTTTTTTTTTGTCAGGTCTGAGCGGCGTTTGCATGCCCTACTTACGCCAAGAGATATGTATATATTTATTAATAGCTGCGGTGCCTGCAAACGAGTCGTGAAAATGCCAGAAGATGCGAAATGAATGATTGCCGATAAAGATGGCGCATTTAATTGCTGATTTGCCCACAAAATCAACTGGGGGTGAATTACGGCGATTGTCACGAAAAGATTTATGAGTTTTAATTATGCAATTACTTTATTAAAATATAATTACAGATTACTAACAGCTTTGTCTTGGTGCTTGCATATTTATTTCCATTATTAGCACAGGTAATGAGCAAAATAAATGTATTCAGAGAAATGGTATTGGTAAATAAAATGTATGGGCTAACACAAATTGTTCTTAATTTTATTTATTGGTTTGTATTTGTTATAAGTTCGGTTTTGAATAATTAATGTAATAATTTATGTCCACATTGAACTTAATACCCAACTAATACCCTACGAATTCAAACATCCGCCCCCAAGCTAGTGTGTTATCAATTTGGAACTCGATCAATGTCCACAAGCCATCGATCATATAGCAACATCCCCGAACATTTACATTTAACTAAAACCCATTCAAGCGAAACATCCATCCATCTACGGCGTGTGACGTTAAGTCAATAAAGCGCCCGACTAATTCATATTTACTTTGGGCCGATCTAAAGATCTCTCTGTGGACATTATCTATGGCATTTTAAAGTGTGAAAGCGATCTTTTAGAGGCATTTTAGGGGTGTGAATTTAACGCCCGTTTTAACGTTTCGTACGTCGTCAGTTGATAGAGCGGTCTGGAGGCAAAGAAATTCAGATTGAAATCAAGGTGGCATTCTCATTTTCCAAACGGCTATCAAAGGAAGGAAGCACGGCTTTGATAGTCTGTGATTATTTATTGATAGTGGAACACAAAAGACAATTTTCACTTTATTAAATACGACTGCCAGTGCTGATAATACCCATACAGACTCTTTTTGTTCGCTTTTCAAAGGGAAACGCAATAAAGTTCACTTTGTTTTCAAAATGAGAGTTTCCGTTTGCATGCAGACTGTCAGATTCTAAGAATTTGATTTCTTTTAACGAGTAGACTGTATCAAAGTCGGTATTTTTATAAGGCTCTTTGGTTTAGTTCATATTGTGGTTGTGCATGTCTACTACAATTTATCCTATTCATTGAATTCATTATCTTGACAAACCTAATATTAATTGTTTTTAATTGATGTGCAGCAATAGTAACTTAGTGAAATCTCATGCAATTATATTTGACTCACTATTTTAAAAAAAAATAGCTATGAGATAAGTCAACTTTAATTGGATGTAGTGAACATTCGGAGCAAATAAATATTTATCGGCAAGCTATCCGTTAAAAACATAAAAAGAGTACAATAATAACAACTTCGAATGTTTTCGTACAAATAAAATTAAAAAACTTTTCTGTATAAAAAACTTCCATAACAATCCGGAGATCTATATAGTCAATACGCTTTGTATCTATGTTACTCCAAGTCTTGTAAACAATTCTATCATCAAATTAAATAAAGATGAGTTCGTTCAAAGAAAAAAATGTAGTTACGCTAAATAGACGATTACAATTTTTTTTTTTTATATTTTTTCTTTAAGTTTGAGGCACTGTAATATTTTCAATAAGAGTACTTGTGACTTCGACTAGGTGGTGTTGCCCTAACCCTATGGTAAATAGCGTTAATTTCCAGCGACAATTGCATCGAGATTTGTCTGGACAGGTGTTTGGAATTCCGTCTGGGGGTGTGTATGCGGGTGTCTAGTTTGCGAGTATCAGTGGGGTCGAGTTCCGAGTATCGGCGTCTGCTGATCGGGCTAAGAATTTGCACCGGCTGGATAATGCGCTCATTTGCATGACTCGACGGAAAGATAAACTTAAGGAATGAGTAAACGGGCTGTTAGATCGCCCCGCTGAAAAAATACCCGAGAACAAAGTGCCAGAGATATTTATATGTTAATGTCCCGTCGAACTTATTCATTCTGCTGGGCAACTGAGGAGGCTGGTCTTTTGGCCATCGCTGGGGGACTCACAGGGCACGTGATCTGGATTGATCGGACGGAGCATGAATAACACCGAGTCGGAGATAAAGCCAAAACAGCGTGATTCCCAGACCAGTACAAAGAGCCGATCGCTGTGAGCCAGTCTATGTTAAAGCCGGTTTTTTGTACCGCTTTTGTCTCCATCTTAGTCTTCACTTCAGTCTCGATGTGACGTCACTTTTGACGTTGCCTTTTTCGCATGCATTTCAAGTGCTCATCTCAGAAAATATTTAAACAAAGTTTTTTCACTCAGTGGCGGACTTCACCCTGCCCTCAAGTCGGTGCACGTGTTTATCGGAGAAATTAAAGCACTTAAGCCCCATAAGACCATAAAAAATTCATATAAACGATATTTAACCCATATTTGTTGCCGGGTCGATAATTCAATATGTCCCAGCCAAATTGGGTTTGATTTTCTGTTTGAGCACAGCACAGAATAATACTTATATCTTTCTTAAGATCAATTGTGTGCGCGGTCCTTTTTTTTGGCAAAAAAAAAAACTTTAATTTAATAAAAACGGAGAAAAAATTGGCAGAGGCCCATGAATAATATTATCATAAAAGAGGCAGTTATGTAAATTAATACTCAATTACAAAATGTATACTATATCGAATATGCATTTTTGATCTCCACTTATAAGCTCAAAGCTATCGGTTTTTTCTGTATGCCGCCTACATGTGTGTGCATTCCCCCCAATCCCAAAAATGGAAGACTTTTACGATAGGGACAGGCCCTGGCTGAGGCATAGTCATTAATTTACCAGACCATATGCAGTCGAGTCGAATACTTTTGGCCATCATGATGTCGCATGTCCTTGAGCTGGTTAAAGGCCCATCAAGTCCGGCTAATGATGAGTTGGCCATAATGCCTGGGCCCATCGAGTCACTTGATTGCATTGCCCGAATGGGGTAATTATCTCGAACCAATTTCAGTTGAGCTATGGGCTTTTGGGCAAGTTAAATACCTGATAAGAAGTTTAAGGCAATGTCAAGAATTTAAACAAAGTTTCTTGGAATGCAGCAATGCAAAATGTCAATAATTCTGATAGCTGATATCTCAAAAAAGACATTATTTAATAGCTTCCAGACGAAGCTACAAACAACAGTTTACTAAGATTTACGCTAAATTCCGCTAATATCTGTCATTCAAGACTGAACTATTTTCCTAAGGCATATTTTTCCAAATTCCAAAGAAATTTTAGTATGCCGACAGCATAAACTTCCGAATTTTCTGCTCGCTTATACAGTCCGTCGATCGCTTGTCTGGCATATTGAAAAACATTATCTATTTTTACTTTATATATTTATTTTTTGAGTAGAATGATTTCCGCCAAGACGCTAATTTGTTTCACACTTAGCCAACGTTTTGAGTGGCTGCCGAACCTAAGTAGACAGTTTTATAATAAGTTTTAGCCCTGGTAAGTCTGCTAATTGACGGCAAAGGTCCAGCCCTTTAAGTGAACAAACAGGTGAGACAATGCGGCATGACGAATCTCCTCAAGTATATATTATTTATTGTATAATGCAGAAATATTGACAGTTTCCGTTACCTGATAAGATTACGTCCCGGGCAAACAGTTTTAATAGACAATCAGGGAGCTGAGCTGGGCTTCA